GTATTTTATTTTAAAAGTAATGAGAAATCATTGAAAGGTAAAGCCAGGAAATAACATGATTTGATTAGATTCAAGATTATTCTGGTGGCCATGTAGACAATTGAATTGAGAAGGAACAAGAATGAATGCAGGAAGGTCAGTTGGAAAGTTACTGCCAAGATCTAAGAGATGATGTGGCCACGACAAGGATGATGGTGGCAGAAACTGGGAGAAATGGAACGATTTGAAATATATTTTACAAGACTCATTAGCCAGAGGGAGGGAGATGGGAAGAGTCAAAGTAACTTCTCTGTTTGTTTGTTTGTGTTTATTTTCTTTGAGCCACGGACGGTGGTTTGGGAGACTAGTTCCCTTCCAGGGATTGTTAAATGGTTTGCAGATCTGGGAGGGGAATACTGACCCAGAGGGCCACTGAATCTTACTCTAGTTCACCATTCAGCAGTAGCAATCATCTCATAAAAAATATGCATGAAAAGTTCTCTTTGTAGTATGGAGATCAAGAAAATTAATTGATTATATTAATGTAAATTTGAATATGGATGTCGGGAATATTCAAACCTAATTCCTTGGATCAAGAGCACACAGAGCCAACCTTCTCTGGGAAATTATCCCTTTATGTGAAGTTCAGGGTACATGATTTATTTCAGCAAGATTAGGCATGTGCTGAACTTAAGTGCAAGGGAAGTCCTGCTGACTGTAAAGGTGATGTTCAGAAAGGAAGCTGGTTTGGGGGAACATTCCGAATGCCTTTGCTTAAATACCTCATGCAAAATGAAATGGGGCAGGGCAGAGTTGGAGTTTGTAACCTTCTCTGAAGAATCAATGCTAAGAGTTTGGGAGTTAACACAGTTTTTGTGAACTCACCAGGAAAGTAAATGTCTATGCTCTTAGGAGTGAAGGCAGGGAAAGAATTCATTTAAAAGATGCTCTTCTGGCCCTGTCCTGTCTTAGGGTTGCTTCACTCTGCCCAAAGATCAGCCCTGCCCTCCCCAGGATTCTCTGGGAACTCAGATCTGGTGGATGGCAAGGATTTGGGTCCCCTAATCTGCGGATGACTTCCTTTCTGCCACCTGAGTTAAACAAATGTGAGTAGTACAAGGTGTTCTAAGCAGAGGAAGCAATCACTTGATAGTATATAGTTTTAACTTCCGTTCCTTACTTGACGCATTAATAGTACCCTTTGTAAAAACGAAAAGTTCCGTATCCTTGCTGGCCTGCTGGAATGTTCCATCCTGTTCCTCACGAACTACACTTGGATGAAGAAACACACCATTCATTTAGCTTGGGATCCACATGAAAACCCCACCAGGACTCAGGGTTTCTCTTCTTTCTTGTGGGGCACGTATGTTTGTCATTTTCCAAGCCCCTCGGCAGGTGCGCTGACGGTGGTGACGTTCTCTTAGAGTACACGGGTGTCCGCCTGACCACAGTCCACGCCCCGTCTCCTGGGGCCGGTCAGGCAAGCTGTGCGCACACTGCTCGAGAAGGCGGATTGCTGCGAAATCTTCCCCGCATACAGAGACACAAGGCACCGGCTCTTTCCGATGCGACTGCCGTCGACTTTTCCTCATAGCCTCTGGGACACAACTGCATCAGCTCCAAGACCATCTGGGTAAGAAGTACTTCCCAGCGCAATGGATGAAAAAATGCCCAAATGCCAGGCACATCTGCCTTGGTCTCCAGTTCTAAAAGATTCCCAAATTGACTAGAACTGACTCAGCCTCAGAAGGGGGGTTGCCCTGGAGGAAGCTAGAGTGACCCCTCACCTCAGGCCATATGCCTTCAGAGCACCTTCCGGTGCTTGTGTTTCTGGTGCTAACCTAAGGAATAAGTGTTGCTTTAGAACAGACCTAATTTAGCGATATTCATCATTCATTTTCACTCATTCATTCATTCATTCACTCATTCATTCATTCATTCATATTTAGGAGCAGATACTGTCTAGAGCTAGACACACAGATTCGATTTCTACTCCTAAGACCTCATGCAACAGGGTGGTCTATGAGAGGGAGGGAACAGAGCGACATAGAAATAGATGTTGGAAATAAACCCTTTCCCCACCTTTTTAAAATGTGAAATACACTTTGCCCTTCTATGGAAAATAAAGGTTTAATCCATTCACTTATTTAACCGGAAAACATTTGCTAACTGCCTGCTTCTATACTATGCTTAAGGAGCAGCCCGAGGGTACTGCTGGGAAGACCAGAGAAGCACACTGCCCTTGCACCCTGTCCTCTGGGGGGCAGTCCCGATCCTTCATGGGCTCCAGGAGAAAAGGAACTGGAAAGGGAACTTCAAAAGGAAGCAGATCTGCAATGTAAACATCACCTTCTCCAGGCCCAGCATTTATCTCCCTTTGTCACTCAAGGCGCTGGTACCCAGTAGATACATCTGTACAAATATCTGCCGGCTTTTCAGTTTATCAAGCATCCCCCCACCCATACCTTAGTTCAATGAATTATATAGAAAAAGGGATACACTATTTGGGTAAATGTAAATTCTAAGTACCAAGGAGCTGCTTGAAATCACTATGGAAAATAAGACTTTAAGTATTTTAAAAAGGTAGATTTTATTTGTAATATTGTGGGAATAATTCCAAAGTATATACATGAGTTAAATAAGAGTTTACAAAATTACATACAGTAGGATGCCATTTATGTTTTTTCAAAAAGAGGAGAGAAAATGATAATAGTTAATACTTTACAGTTTTTACAACATGCCAGGCACTATTTTAAGTGCTTTGCAGAAATGAACCCATTTGATCCTCAAAACCACTCAATGGATTGGGTGCTTTTATTACCTCTTACAGGCTTGGGATCTGAGGCATGGAGAAATTGAGTCCTTTGCCTAAAGTTGTACAGATAGGATTTAAACCCAGGAAGGTAGTCTACAGATTCTGGAACCTAAGCTGTGCAGTTTCCACAGGCACAGTTCCATGAATGTAAACACTTAGAAAAGGATCAGAAAGATGCACACTAAACTGCAAACCAAGATTTGGAGGTTAGGCAGGGTCAGTCCAACCTTACATTAGCTGTAATATTTGAAGGCTTTTGCTTTCCCCCAAAGAGAGTGATTTCGTGTTATTCTGTTAAGTTTATAATTTTAAAAATCAACCTCAGGGCCCTAGCCAGTTTGGCTCAGCGGTTAGAGCGTCAGCTCACAGACCAGAGAGTCCCGGATTCAGTTCCTGCTAAGGGCATGTACCTTGGTTGCGGTTTGTCCCCGGCCCCGGATGGGGTCGTGCGGGTGGCAACCAGTCAGTGTGTCTCTCTCACATCGATGTCTCTCTCTCTCTTCCTCCCTCTCTCTCCCGTTCTATCTGAAGATAAAGGCAAAAAAAAAAATGTCCTCAGTGAGGATAAAAAAAAAACACAACAATCTTGGGGTCAATTTAAATGATTTTGAATAAAACTATTCGATTATGCTCTTCTAATTTTACACTGACTTTGGCATCCTTGAGAGCAGGAGGTTGTGTTCATTTCTCCTCTCGGGCACTCGCATGGCCTTTGACGAAATCTTACTTCAGAGAGATGAAAAGTTAGATCGTATCTGGAACAATGGGAGGCATATTGATAAAAGTGTTACATTTCATGGTTGAAATGTCTTTCAGAGTTCTGAAACTGAAGCCTAGGTTGCCATATCAGATCAGTATTAAGTACTGAATAAATAAAGAAGGAATTTGTCATTTAATTATAAAAATTAAGTAAAACTATAAAAATCTCATAGGTACTAACATTAGGAAATAGTAGTGTATTAGGGTTCTCCAGAGACATAGATCAGTAGATCAGATGGATAGATAGATGAGGAAGTATTTTAAGGAAATGCTCACACAATGTGGGGGCTGGCAAATCTCACATTTGTAGGACAGGCCAGCTGGAACTCCAGGTAAGACTTGATGTGTAGTGTTTGTATGTATGTATGTATGTATGTATGTATGTAGTTCTGATGTGCAGTCTTGAGTCTGAGATCTATAGGGCAGGTCAGCAGGCTGAAAATTCAATTCTATGTTGTAGTTTTGAGAAAGAAATGCTTCTTTTTGGGAAACCTCACTCTTTGCTCTTAAGGTCTTCAACTGATTGGATGAGACCCACCCACATTATGAAAAGTTGTTTTACTGATTGTGAATATTAATCACATATGCAAATACCTTCACAGCAATACCTAGACTAGTGTTTGACCAAACAACGAGGTATCATGGCATAGCCAAATTGACACACAGTTAACCATCGTGAGTAAATTCCAATTTGAACTAAATTCTGACTGCTCAAAAATACTTTAGCTATGCGAGTCTAGTGATTTTTTCACTTAGGATTACTGAAGTTATGATTTGCTTTAAGAGGCTCAGTCGTGTGGGGAAAATCTTTGAATAGTACATTTGCAATATAATTCGTTTTGCTTTTTACAGGTTGGGTTATGAGATAATTCTGAATTATTTCATGGCAACTGAAATAAGGCTAAAACAATGGAGGCAAATCTGTGAAGCTAATCGGCACTGGATTCATTACCGCAATGTAGCTTTTTCAGTTTTGCTCCCAGAGTTGACTTGTGCACAATGTGCTTACTGTTCTGCAGCGAAGGTGCTCAGTACTGAGGGGTTTTCAATGTAAGCTAGTCACAGAGTTCCATCTTCAACATCTCATCCAGAGATTAGGTTATGCAAATGATTTCAGGATAACCCCCGCCCACGAGAGTCCAGATTCTAAATAAACTGAGCTGGGCATGTGAGAATTTGAATGTGATCTATAACTCCAGATGTTATAGCTGAACTTTAATACTGCATTGATGCTGTTTGTAAATACATCAATGCTCTATTCCTGATCAACTGTGGGAAAGCTAGTAAACATTTCTCACATTTAGGATTATCAGTTTAACAAAACTGTTACTGTTTCCAATAGTTACTTTAAATTAGAAAATTATATGCCACCAAAAAAGATAACTTAAAATGTCTTTCTACCTGCGAAGTAGAGGAAGGGAACAGTATATAGTATGTTATGGAGTTGATGACCTTTATCTTATGTCTCACCTGAGAGAGAGATACTGTTTCCCCTTTTTACAGATGAGGAAAAGGAGGCTCAGAGAAGTTCAGAAACTTGCTCGAGGTCACCAGGAGGCAGCACACCCGCTTCCAGGTTTGAACTCTTTCCACTACAGACACGCTGAAACACAGAAGGAATTGCAAGTTTGCTCTGGTAGTTCTCACATAAGAAAGGCCATGTCTTCCTTTTGTCTTGCACAGCTGTGAGGGCAAAAGTCTTCTCCCACCAGTAAGGCATTTCTCCCCGAGCAAGGGCAGCAGGCTGGGCTGTTTTCATTACACTTGGATTACACTGCCGTTTGTCTTTGGTAGGATCCAACTTAAACCTGCTTCTCACGTCAACTTGCCTCTTTCTGAATCACCCCTGGAACAGACTAGAAACCGCAGTGTGTGCCTCTCTGCGGCAGTGGTGGGCACAGGGCGGGAGGACACTGGAAGGGAGCAATGGACCCCCTGGGTGGGACTTCAGTGGTATGGATGAGTGGTTTTAGTTATGAGACAAACAACTGGGAGTCCTCTCCTCCATTTTCCCTTTCATTAGCCCAGAGAGCTGTAAGCTGTCGTGGCTGCAAACAATTTCGATTAGCTAGGCCCTCGGGTCAGGGCTGCACTTCCCCCGATGTGTCATGAAGACAGATCTGTACTTTGCAGTCACATAGCATCGCTAGATATTTATAAGACGGCACAGCTCTTCCCTTGAATTGTATTCATAAACTGAGAGGGTACTAGAGATCATTTGGCCCAATGGTTTTCCACCTTTTTTTTGTCGTACAAAAATTGTTCAAATTCCTCGGTTTAGTTTTAAAAAGACTCGAGTCCTTTCACATCATAAAATGTGGGCTAAAATTTTAGGTTGCTGATAAATTCTTTACCTGAGGGACAATTCAATATAAAATGTAAATTATATATGTTTTCAAAAGCCCTTCCAAATATTTACTTGCGAATCCAACAGAAGCCAGGGCTGCCCGGCTGCCCCTCGGCTCTCTCCTTGGTCCTTGGCGTTTGCTCCGACCCCTGTTTCAAAACTCCTGACATTTCGTCGACCTTCTCATTTTACAAATTTACTTAGCAAAAACATTTTGTGCAAATACTGGGTATCTGGCACCGTACTAAGCTTACGAAAAACACTGGGCCTAAAAGATGGCTATGCTCTCTGGTCCCTGCCTTTTTGGGGAGACAGGTGATTACAACACGACACAGTAAATTCAGTGAAACACAGTGCCCGTGCTACTGTGGGGGCCTGGCTCGCCACGCCGGAGCCCGAGCCTCTAAAATGAGCACACGAGCTCGGAGGGCTGGTGTGGGGAAGAGTGTGATCCAGACTGAAGAATGGAGTGGTAATGTAGCTGGGGGCACATTCTGGAAGGTACGAGTGGTTTTATGCAGCAGCAAATACAGCGAGAGCGGAGAAGAGGGCCTGGCCTCGCCTCGATTCTTCTGGAAATAGGGAGCTACTGAAGGCCTGTAAGTAGGGAAACAAGGTCATATTTATGTTTATTGCCAACGGGGACTATGAACTTGATGAGAACATGAAGTGGGGTGGGAAGACCTACCTGGAGCTATCTGACAGAATATCAAGAGCAGGAGCAACTTTGGGGGAACAGTGCACTCATTCTGAGGTTCCAGGGAGAGATGTCCGGGTGCCTGGATGCAGAGCTCAGGTCTGAAGCCTTGGAGGATACAGTGAGGTCCTGTATACATAGAGAGGGGATGGAGAGAGGTGTAGGAAAAGGTTAACTTTGCTTAACTCTCGTATTTTTCATTAATTCTGATTTCTTTAATCCTTTTCTGTACACTGAGCATATTACTTTTATAACTAGGCAAAAGCAGTTATTTTAGTTTTTAAATTGTTGATTTATCTTCCAAACTTTGCTTTCCCTCAATTTTCTTTAAACCAAATTGGCACCATACCCTGTATGAAATGTCCTGCATTTTCACTAAAAATTGTATTTGGGAACAATACTATGTAGCCATTAAAATTATGCTTTCAAAAGAAATATGCCGCCCTGGCCGGTTTGGCTCAGCAGTTTGAGTGTGGGCCTGAAGACCAGAGTCGCGGGTTCGATTCCGGTCAAGGGCAGGTACCTTGGTTGCGGTTCGATCCCCAGCTCTGGTTGGGGTCGTGTGGGAGACAACCAATCAATGTGTCTCTCTTGCATCGATGTTTCTCTCCCCATCCCGATCTATCTAAAAATCAATGGGAAAAGATCCTCAGGTGAGGGTTTAAAAACAAAACCATGCAAATGTTTACCAGTCTTCTTACATCAATTTGGTCTAGTTGGGTCCTACAGATACAGCAAGATAGAAAAGTCTCTCGAAGAGTAAACCAGAGTCCACAGCACTTCAGGTGCTCTCGAATGGAGCAGTACAGGCAGCCCACTGTGCTCTGTCACTAGTGATGGCAGAACAGATGCAAGGCTGAACTCGAGCCCAGGGTCTCCACGTCTGACAGGAGTGCGGTGAGGAGACAGGCTCTGCTGACACTGCCTGGAGCTGATGAGCCTTCTTTAAGAACAGTAAAGAAAGGTTGGGTAGTCCTTATTTGAACTTTCTTGCCACAACAACTACATCATAATCTGTGATTAGTATCACCTACCAAATTGATAGCTGACCTAAATGAAACGTATGTACACAAAAGCTATCTTTGAGCATTTGCTTTTAATTAGAGAAAAAAAGAACCATTATTATAATATTCTGACTTTTCCCACTATGCTCAAAGCAACTGAAAGCACGTAGTACCACTGTCGGGAAAACATAAGCAGCGTATCCGAATGGGTTCATCTCCTTGTACAGAGAAACGGGCTAGTACATGCAGGACAGATTTGACTTGGGAAACATATGCCAACTTTGTACGTGTAACTGACTTTTAACTCAGGAAGTTTAGGGAGTGATACAAAATACAGGGACTCGAACCCAAATTACCCAAGAGAAAGATCCATTTCCATTTCTCTTTCAAGTGGTTGACAAAGATGGACAATATAATTTGAAAAGATTAGTGTGGTGTTTCTCAAACATGCCCAATCATGAGAATTACCCAAGACACTTCTCACAAATAGAGTTTTAGACCCATTCTCCTTTGATTCTAGCTCAGTGGGTGGTAGGTTTGGATTGGGGACCGAGGTTTTATATTTTCAACACCCTAAGTGTTCTGATAATCAGACAAATTAGGGGAAGTGGCTAAACAGGGAACAGCAAGAATACCACCGCAGCTCCCATCCCCGTACTCAACATCTGCCCAACACCGTCTGAGAATGAGAAACACTCAACTGAAAATGAGGGATTGTCTGTAGAACACGGTTTATTTCAAGTCCAAAACAAAAAATTACTCATTTTCCTTAACATACTGCATAATTTTTACTGCATGAATATTTAGGGTTTCTGTATTCACAAGTATGTTTATTTCTGAAATTTAGGCTCAAATGATTCATGTGTGTGTGTGTGTGTATATATATCTATATATATCTATATCAGTTTAATACAGAGGACATATACTTTAACAAATTTGTCTAGAAAATATTTTACATAAAAACACACAATGTATTTAATAACACTTTTCAGTCTTGACAACCAATCTTCAGCTAAAATCTGGCTGAAGTCCATCATTTTCTACAAAACACCCCAAGACTGAGTATGACAGAATGTAGTATACGGTAAGTCCTCACCTAACATCGTCGATAGGTTTTGTAGCTTTAAATGGCATATAATGAAACCATACAACAGGCTAATTGATAGAAACAAGAATTATGTTTCCACGGCATCTTCTCAACCTTATAATGAAACGATGTTGAACAAAACGATGTTATCCAAGGACCTGCTGTATTTTACATACTTTAGATTATTGCAGTTAAGTTTCCCTTTCTTTGATGGCTTCTGCATATATTATACTCGTAAAGCAGGAGGGGACTTTTCTTTAACTCATGACTTATAAATAAAATTTGTCCTTTTTGGTGTAACTTATCCCCAACCAAGAAGCAGAGAGTCAAGATGAAATCAGGTAACTGACATATAAGGGCTTTTTTAAACAACAGAATTTAATGCCTACTGGAATAATATCCTTTATTGTCTTCATCCAATAACTACCACCCAGAGTGTCGTTACTTCTAGTATACTCAGTTGGCATCAAAATATAAAGTAAAAATATGTACATTTTTACATATCAATTCTTACCTGAATAATCTCAGATCTCTTGAGTGTTCCACAAAGTGGAATTTCTTTCTAAAGTAACAGTGAATGTGGTACAATGTGTACAACTTGGTTAACCAGTGCTTATTTTTTCATTTCCAAGACATTTCCTCATCTTGAATCAAACACACAATCTTGACTACCATATCATAATGCACTGGCTTACAGTTCGTATATGAAGTCCAACTCAAGCTTATTTTGGTTTATTGTACATGCTTTATTAAAACGGTACTGGTATCTACATATCTGCGGAGTCCCTTCCAAGGCACCCTCACATTCAGACACACCCACACAACATCCATACTACAGCCCCATGCACCCACACTAGTGAGCTGTGAGGGTCAGACTCCTAAATTTAGGGAGCTGTTGGGGGATAGAGTTGTTGATTTGGTTTTCAATTGTTTTGAAAAAAGCATGGGGGAATGCATTTGGCCATTACAATGCTAACTGAGTTCGTGTATATTAACATATATGGCAGTAACACTGAATATTCCTTTTACATTCTATATTCACAGAATGACATCAAGGTTTTGTGGTCAACAGAATATTCCAACTTCGGTCTCAATGCTGCTTGCAGTGACTTCTAAATTCACATAGGGGCTTTCCCTAAAAATAATTCAAGTCTATGTAAGTGAAATAAGGCACAAGTAATACCGATTTGATCTAGGGGAAGGAAAGGGATAAAAACTAGTTTCAAATTATCTTAATGTTGGGGTTACTTTGACTTAAATTCACTTGAAATCCGGTCTCCTAATATGCAAAGATTTCTTAGTAATAAAGGTTTTATTTTATTTTTATCCTTTTCCCTGACAAAACCCAAAAAGAAAAGTTTGGGAATTCACATTTAATGTTTCAGTAGCCTCAACTACTCAAATTGATGTGCACCCTGCCTCTCCTGCCCACGTCTCCTCCCTCCCTCAATACCAAAACAAAAGCACAGCACAGGAAATAGGAATGGAATCCCTTGCTGTTTTTGAGATTTGTACACTTAAGTAGTAAATACATATCTGGTTGTCTTTGATTTTTTAAAAATAAGAAAAAGCAATCTCGTAACTTTCTTGCTCTGTAAAAAAATCCCTGTCTCCTTTTCAGGATGATGAAGCCCCAAGCAGACATTACAAACAACTGCAACAAATGAGTTTGGCAGCATAAATAATGTCTAGTATTCAAAACTTCATAGTGAGATTCATTTAGCTTGTACACAATCTGTTGAGTGTTTTTTGCAGCAGGTGAACCAAACCCAAAGATGCTGGACATTCTGTGAAAGGGAGTAAGAATTGCAGTTCTGAAGGCCCCTGACTTTGGTTGTTTACAAAGTTCAATCCTGTTTATTTTGATCCTTGGTATCTTCTTCATCTGTATATTCTGATGGTTCTTCTCCTGGTTTTAGCAGTCTGCCTACATAATCATATTTTTCTGAAAGACACATTAAAAGAAAATCAGTAGCAATCAAATGTTTCACTATCCCATTATACAGCAGGGAAGGTATTTGTCTCTTCTGGAATCATATAGAATAAGCTAAATTTTTCCTACTGCTCACCTTGGCTGGTCTTTGTACTCATGTAAGGCTTGAACAAAAGAAAACAGGATTAGGGATCTTATAAAGCTTGGGAATTGTGATTTTCAGGAGAGTGTCCAACACTACCACTTTTTAATCAAGGACACTGCATCACAATTGCTTAGAGATCTTTTGAAAAAATATGTGCATGTCCAGCACCCATCTTGGAGCTACTGATCCCAGGCTCTTGGATTAGGCCTGGGGAGAGACATGTAATATGAAACTGGTCTAACTCCATTGTGCACTGTGAATCTCAGAATAGCTCTTTAAATTTTAATAGCCCAAAGTATCGGAATTAAAGAAACAAGTTGGCCACGCAGGGCATTTCCAACAGTTATTTAAAATCTATATATAGAACTGAGATAAAATAAAATAAAATAAAATGTGCTAATCTTTCTTCTATCAAATTCTCTTCTTAGGTCTGTTACATTATTTGTTTTAATGTCACCAGGTGTTTAATGCAGAACACTGTTATGTCCAAGTTGATACACGTTCAGTGATTTGTTGGTTAGGAATTTGAACCTAGGTTAACTGGATTACTCGACAAGCTAAGAGAAGATAGGAGGACTCCTTTTGAATCAGTACAAATGCCAAGAAGCTAGAAGAACTGTTCCAAAAGATCCATAGGTCACATAGGTCCAGAGTGTCACATAGGCAGTAATAATTGATGTCACAAGGGTATAATAAAAAGAAATTATGTTTTTTCCTTACAGTTCGAGGGTAAGACCAATAAAATCATTTAGAATCAATTATAATAAGATTAGTAGTTATCAGTTCATTTAAATATAAGCCTATATATTTTTTAAAAAACTACAAAAAAGCTTGTATCAGTAAAAGGTGTCATAATTTTTTCTTAGACTTACAGTTTGTAACAAGGCAACTTTTAAATATGGATTTTGTAACAATCATAATGCTCTATCAACTAATGATGGCGATGAAAACATACGGCATTCTTGGGCTCTTAAATAATGTGAAATAGCATTTACTTTCTTTGGCCATAGATTTATTATTTCCAAAGAACCCAACAAAATGAAGGTACCTTTAAACTGCATTTCCCATTCTCGGACACTCTCCATTTGTACGGCATTCAAATCGGAGAGATCATCATATTCCTCTTTCAGTGCGTCTTTGTCTAGGCAAAATGTCGCCAGTCCTCTGGAGGCATCCCTGCCAGCAAATATTCCGTATGGACCCGCTGGGGGAAAAGAAATGATAGATAACCTAACAATATTTTAGAGTGTCTCAAAGGAAAAAGTCAAATAAAAGAAACCTCATCATGACTCATACTTGGTACACAGCTTTAGTTTCAAAACATGCACAGATACCAGATGGGATAATGAGAAGAAATTTCTTGGAAACCTGTCTTTCTTGACCAAAGCTATTCACTGAAAATTTAAGCCTTAAGTTTCAATTATTTCAGATACTCCAAAACTTGTATTCAAAGATGAAGACTGTGAGGTACTAGGGAGAAGAGGTTATTTGAAGAGTTAGGTTTGGAAGCCAGTTTGCTTTACTACTTGCTGTTAATTAATTGTGGCATCTAAAAATAATTGACAGAACATCCACTGGATAAGTACTATTTAAAGACTCAAGTGGATTGTGGATCTAAAACACTGTTTTCTCCTATCCAATGTAAGTTGTAACTCTATGAGGACAGAGAATGAATCATCTTTGTATCCACAGTGATGACTACAGTGCCCAGCACATGTGATATTCAACAAATCTTTGCTGAATAAATGGTTTGATCAGAAATACGCCCCATTTTCAAAATAAATGATCACTTAAGTACCACGATATACTCACAATTATCTATATAAACTATGAAAAGTCATTAAAGAAAATAATGATTTTCATGTGTCACGACTTTTGGAAAACAGTGTGGCTATAAAGAACAGTTCTTCTGACACAAAATTATTAGCAGTTTGAGCAAGGAATTAGGAACCACCCTCTCTAGGGAGGAATGGCATGATTTATATACTGACAGAGGAAGCCATTCCCAAAGTTTTTCCTTGAGAGCAGTAACTGTCTTACTTGTCCCTGTATCCTCAGTGCCTACATGAAGTAGGAACATAATAAATTTCTTCCAAACAAATTAGCTGCAATTCCAAATAAGGAGAAACCAAATCTGGACCTTTTATTTTAAATAAATTCACTTATGGTAAGAAAAATCTCCACCTAAATATAGATTAAAAAGACACTTTAGTTGTTTAAAACATATCCTAATAAACAAAACTGAAACAACCCGATTTTCTATATCAAGAAACTGGTTATCATGTTAATTTAATGGAATAGTATACAGCTATCAAAGAGAATGAGGTAACTATATGTTCAGACATAGAAAGACATCTATGATATATTAACTGAAAAAAGCAATTCAGGAGAGTATGCATATATATGGTATTAATACCAGAATTACTGGCTTAACTGAGTGGCATTAGCAATAAGTTTTAAAAATAGCATTATTAGGTATTGATACATAAATATGAAAATTGGATACTTCCAGTAAAGTACTGTATTTTTTATCCTGCTTTTCCCATTCTTAAGTACTTTACATATTGCTACTTAATAATAGGTATATCACAATTATCATTGTTATAAACTTTCCCACTGAATTTATTTAATCATTCTATTGTCTAAATGAAAGAGAATTAACGAAAAAGCTATAGACACCAACAGCTTTTCTTAGCATTTTATTGTAGTATTTATTTAGCTCCCTAGCCTACAAGTCACTCTACTTAGGGTACTTAGACTATAAACCATAAAATACATTTAAATGGTAAAAAGGAGAGAAGAAAAGGTGACTATTATAAAAACAGAAATCAGAAAACCCTCCATCTTTGAGTACATTAATATATACATGTCTTCTCTAGTAAAGTTCTCTGCCAACTTCCCCAAGGCGGGCTCAAAAATGAATGAATGTAAAACAAAACTTCATAAAACATGTTCTTTTCTGGTTTTAGAAGGCTAACTTAAAGTGAATGTGAGTCAACAGTTACTAATCCAAGCCCGATTCTATACAAAATGTTCTGCTAACTCTTGGACAAGAATGATTCTGGGGTTAACTTATTTCCCCTCTCCTAACTATATTAAGCTGTCTTTTCCACAAGTTTAAAATTTCCCCCAGGAAGCACTTAACTTCTGCAAAGGTGTTTTTGGTAAGTTTTCTTGACTCTTCCCTGTAAGACCATAAAGAACATATTAAGATTTAGAACTAGAGGTGGAATTGGATGGGTTGCTCAGAAGAAGGAGGCTTTGAGGTCTAATTAAAGTATATTTCTCTCTATTCATAATACAACCAGAAGCATACTGAGAAGTCAGCAATACCATCCCATTCCACTATCCCTTATGTAACAAACCTATATGTTACTGCTCCCAGTATTTTGGCGATTACAGTTTATATAGCTCATGTTGAATGAGAATTCTAAGGTGAAAATATAGCATATTCTTAAACATTACCTATTATAATTTAGTAAACAGTAAAGGTAATACTAAAAATGTTGGAGGACAAAAAAATTATTCTATGCATGGTGTTGGGATAACTGAATAGCCTTCGGTGAAAACAAACACACAAAACAAAAACCAGATCCTTATTTCACATTTTAAAACAAAATAAAATCCAGGAACTAAAAAACCAAAACCGTACAAGTATTTTAAATAATTTTTATTGATTGATTTGAGAGAGAGAGAGGAAGGGTGAGGGAGAGACAGACATCGATGAAAAAGAACATGGACTGGCCACCTCCTCCATGCCCCACTGGGGACTGGGCCCACAACCTGGTCATGTGCTCTGACTGGGAACAAATCCAATGACCTCTTGGTGCAGGGTCCACGCTCAACCACTGAGCCACACCAGCCAGGCTGAAACTGTGAAAGTATTAAAGACACTACAGATTATTAAAAATAATCTCTCAGTGCAAAAAAGCTTTAAGTGTGGTACAAAACACAGCAGCCACAAAAAGATTAAGTTTGAATACATAAAAACAAAAAATTTTCCCCTGGCTGGTTTGGCTCAGCGGTTGGAGCATCCGCCTGCGGTCCCAAGAGACCCGGGTTCAGTTCCTGCTGAGGGCACGTACCTCGATTGCAGTTTGTCCCCGGCCCTGGTTGGTCGTGCAGGTGGCAGCCACTTGATGCGTCCCTTTCAGGTCAATGTTTCTCTCTCTCTCTCCCTCCTACTGTATCTGAAAAAAATTGGAAAAATGTCCTCAAGTGAGGATAAAAAAAAAAAATTTTGTGTGGTTTGTAAAATATCATAAACTAAAAAGACAAATAATTCAAGAAAAAACATTCGCAGCAAAGGTTTATTTACTTTTTAAAGAACACCTAAAATCTTTTAAAAAAGACCAATATCATGACTGAAAAACTGTGGCAAATATATGAACAGATAATTTGCAGGAAAGAAACCATAAATGACCCAAATTTCTGAAGATGTCCAACCTCACTAAGAAAGAAATGTAAACTACTCAGACTGAGAAAAACCAATAAGTTTAATATCACATTTTTGACAAGGGGACGAAAACTAGGCATTTTCATGGAAGTGTATATTGGTCCAACTTCTCTGGAGGGCAATTTAGAAATAAGTACCCAAATTAAAAATGTCCATACCCTAAAACTCAGTGATCTTACTTTTAGGAATTTGTTTTATAGATAATTATAATTTTACTCACATGCGTAAAATGACATGTACGGGAATAGTTATAGTAGCACCATGCAATAACAAGAGGCTAGAAACAATTTAAATGTTCATTAATAGGAGACTGTTAAGTTATAATATATTCATACAATAGAATATTACACATACATTTAAAAGAATGAGACGACCCGCTACACTGACATGAAGTGCTGTTAAGATATTAAAATTTGGTCAGAGGTTTGTATAGTGTGCTGGTTAGTGAGGGGAAGAAAATACACAGCCATGTGCTTACACTTGCAGAGTACACTCTGGAACGCACTCAGACTGCTTCCTCACCTCTCGGGAGGGGAACAGGGTGGCTGGGTTGTGGAAAGGAGATTTATTTTTCACTATATATCCTTTTAAATGTTCTATCTTGAGCATGTATTACCTAATAAAAAATACTGTTTTATTTGAATAAAACAGTATCCACTAGGCTCTATTTTGAAATGTAGATCACTCTATACAGTTAGACTTCCACAACCCAGGGCTCATGAAACATCACAGAAAATACCCCAAGAAACAAATAGATAGTAATTGCTGAAGGTAAGTGTGCAATGAAAATTATAAACTACGTGAAGAAACAAACCACCATGGGGGAGTGAGTCAATTGAACAGTTATGAGAACCGGCATCCCAAGAATAAGATAATAGAAGCAGCTTAAAGAACAATAGTATATTTGCTTAAAATTATTAAGAAATTAAGAGATGGAACATAAGGAAAGATTAAGAGACATGATGGACAAAGCGAAAAGCTAATGTGTATCTGAGTTTCAGAGGAAGGAATAAAGAGAATGGGAGAAGCAATGATTGAAAAAATAATGGATTCACATTTTCTAAAATAAATGAATGGCGCACACCTTCAGATTTTAGTAGAGTCTGGGACATGTTAACAATAAAATAAAATAAAATCCTTGCCTGGACAAATCCTAGTATAAGAACAGAACTCCAAACCAAAGGGAGGCCCTGGCTGGGTAGGTCAGTTGATTAGTGTTGCCCCGATATGCCAAAGTTGTGGCTTTGATCCCCAGTCAGGGGAAATGCAAGAATCGACCAGTGAATGCATAAATAATTGGAACAAGTCGACGTTTCCCTTTCTCTGTCTCTCTCTGCTCTCTTTCTCCACTCCTTCCTCTCTAAAATTAAAAAAAACAAAAATAAACAAAGGGAAAAAAGTCTCAACCGTAGCAAGTCCTCACTTAATGTCCTTGATAGGTTTTTGGAAACTGTGACTTTAAGTGAAATGGTGTACAACAAAACCAATATACTATAGACTAACTAATGTAAACGAGTTAAGTTCCTATGGCATATTTCTGGTCACAAAAGCATCAACAAACTTCTAAATAAAGACCTAAGCCACTTGTAATATTAAACATGGAAATAAATGTGAGCTATACATAATTTAAGAAAGATGAATAAAAACGAGACTCCTTTTCAAGCCGGGTATTCCAGTTCAGGGTCTAGGCGGCCAGGTCTTACCCCAGCAGCTCAGGGTGCAAGAAGGGACCCACTCTGGAGAGGACG